TCAAATTTCATAGATGCATTTGACTTGACAATTAGATGACCCCTATTGATTTTGGGGTCAAGGGGTCATAGGTCATATTAACCTTGTAGGTGAAAACGGTTTCTGATCAATAACTTGACAAGCCCATAACTACTGGTCCTCAAACTTTGTAGGTGCATTGGTCTAAATGGCCAGTAGATGACCCCTATTGATTTTGGGGTCAGGGGGTCAGTGTCATATTGACCTTGTACTTAAAGACGGTTTCTGACCAATAAATCAACAACTCAAGTTGCCTTGGTTGATATTTTTATATTAAACTAAAAATGTTTTTCGTATACACATTTGAAGGTCTTATGATAACAACTTGGTTGTCATTTATGAGGCCTACATGATTCATAAAATTTTATGCATATATCCTTTTGTAACATTTGTAAAAACTTTGTCATAAAATTGCTGCACACAACCTATGGGGTCACAATAATTATTACCTGGTGACTAGTCATGACCAGTAGATAATTTTTAACCAGGTTTTCCGAAGGAAAAAACTGGTAAATAGATTGACGTATGTCGGCGGATGGGCGGGCAGATGGGCAGAAGGGCTGGCGTAAACAATTTCTTCTGTGCGCAACTCCTCCTACATTTTTCAACCGATTTTGACCAAACTTTCACAGAAGCTTTGTCATCAAGTGACCTGGCACATATTGTCGGGGTTTTGTGATTGGATAATATTTGACCTAATTATGGCCCTTTGTTTTTTAGCTCACCTGAGCACGAAGTGCTCAAAGGTGAGCTTTTGTCATCACTCTGCGTGCGTCGTGCGTCGTGCGTCGTGCGTCCTTCAAAAAATGGCGTCAAACTTTTCAAACAACATCTCCTCCTAAACTACATGGCCAATTGCAACCAAACTTTACAGAAATGATCCTTAGGTGGACCCCTTTCAAAGTTGTTCAAAAATTTAAATTCCATTAAAAACTCTGGTTGCCATGGCAACCAATAAGAAAAACTTAAAAAATCTTCTTCTAAAAAACCGTAAGAGCTAGAGCTTAGATATTTGGCATGAAACATCTTCTAATGAGTGCCTACCAAGTTTGTTCAAATCAAAGCCCTAGGGTCAAAATTGGCCCCGCCCCAGGGGGTCATTGATTTTCCCTATATGCATATAGTAAAAACTTAAAAAATCTTCTTTTAAAGAACTCAAAGAGCTAGAGCTAAGATATATTTAGCATGAAACATGTTCTAATAGGTGTCTACCAAGTTTGTTCAAATAAAAGCCCTGGGGTCAAAATTGGCTCCGCCCCGGGGGTCATTGATTTTCCTTATATGTGTAAAGCAAAAACTTAAAAAATCTTCTTTAAAAAAACCCAAATAGCTGGAGTTTAGCTATTAAGCATGAAACATCTTCTAGTGAGTGTCTACAAAGTTTGTTCAAATCAAAGCCCTGGGGTCAAAATTGGCCCCGCCCCGGGGGTCATTGATTTTCCTTATATGACTGTGTATAGCAAAAACTTAAAAATCTTCTTTGAAAAAACCCAGATAGCTAGTGTTTAGATATAAAGCATGAAACATCTTCTAGTGAGTGTCTTCCAAGTTTGTTCAAATAAAAGCCCTAGGGTCAAAATTGGCCCCGCCCCAGGGTGTCTTTAATTTTCCCTATATGCATATAGTTAAAACTTAAAAAATCTTCTTTAAAAGAACCCAAAGAGCTAAAGCTAAGATATTTAGCATGAAACATCTTCTAATGAGTGTCTACAAAGTTTGTTCAAATAAAAGCCCTAGGGTCAAAATTGGCCCCGCCCCCGTGGGTCATTGATTTTCCCTATGTGCATATAGTAAAAACTTAAAAAATCTTCTTTTAAAGAACTCAAAGAGCTAGAGCTAAGATATTTAGCATGAAACATGTTCTCATGGGTGTCTACCAAGTTTGTTCAAATAAAAGCCCTGGGGTCAAAATTGGCCCCGCCCCGGGGTCATTCATTAGCTTGACTTTTTTTTTTTTAGATATATACATATTATATATATACAGATATATATTTGATATTTATATGTAAATATGTATATATATTATATATATATATATATATATATATATATATATATATATATATATATATATATATATATATATATATATATATAAATGTATATATACATATATATAGATATATATATATAGATATATATATATAGATATATACATATTATGTATATATATCTATATGTATGTATGTATGTATATGTATACATATATATATATATATATATATATATATATATATATATATATATATATATATATATATATATATATATATATATATATATTACATGCATACATATACAACCAAGTTTGTTCAAATAAAAGCCCTGGGGTTAAAACTGGCCCCGCTCCAGGGGCCTATTTACAGGTGAGCGACTTTGGGCCATCATGGCCCTCTTGTTTTCCTTATATAGAATATATAGTGAATAATTTCTTCTGTGCCCAACTGTTCCTACATTTCTCAATGGATTTTGACCAAACTTTCACAGAGGCTTTGTACTCAAGTGCCCAGGCGCATATTATCGGGGTTTTGTGATTGGATAATATTTGACCTTATTATGGCCCTTTGTTTTTTTTTCCCAATATAGGATATAATTATAGTGAACAATTTTCTGTGCGCAACTCCTCCTACATTTCTCAACGGAATTTGACCAAACTTTCACAAAGGCTTTGTCATCAAGTGCCCTGGCGCATATTGTCAGGGTTTTGTGATTGTATAATATTTGACCTAATTATGGCCCTTTGTTATACCCCCACAAACTAAGTTTAGGGGGGGTATATAGGAGTCAGCTTGTCGGTCGGTCGGTCGGTTGGTCCGTTGGTCCGTCGGTCGGTCGGTCCACATCATGGTTTCCGGACGATAACTAGAGTTTGGAATGAGGTATTGTAATCAAACTTGGTATATAGCAACCTTATGTGAAAACTCCGGTTGGTATTGCATTTTGACCCCCTGGGGTCAAGGTCATCATTACTAAAAATAGAAAAATGGTTTCCGGACAATAACTACAGTTAGGAATGAGATATTGTTATCAAACTTGGTGTATAGCAAGCTTATATGAAGACCTGGGTTGGTATTGCATTTGGACCCCCTGGGGTCAAGGTCAAGGTCACCGTTACTAAAAATAGAAAAATGGTTTCCGGACAATAACTAGAGTTAGGAATGAGATATTGTTATCAAACTTGGCAAATAGAAAGCTTATATGAAGACCTGGGTTGGTATTGCATTTGGATCCCCTGGGGTCAAGGTCAAAGTCCCTGTTAATAAAAATAGAGAAATGGTTTCCGGACAATAACTAGAGTTAGGAATGAGATATTGTTATCAAACTTGGTGTACAGCAAGCTTACATTAAGACCTGGGTTGGTATTGCATTTGGATCCCCTGGGGTCAAGGTCAAGGTCACCGTTACTAAAAATAGAAAAATGGTTTCCGGACAATAACTAGAGTTAGGAATGAGATATTGTTATCAAATTTGGAGTCGCTTGGACCCCCTGGGGTCAAGGTCAAGGTCACCGTTACTAAAAATAGAAAAATGGTTTCCGGACAATAACTAGAGTTAGGAATGAGATATTGTTATCAAACTTGGTGTATAGCAAGCTTATATGAAGACCTGGGTTCGTATTGCATTTGGACCCCCTGGGGTCAAGGTCAAGGTCACCGTTATTTAATGGTTTCTGGACAATAACTAAAGTTAGGAATGAGATATTGTTATCAAACTTGGTGTATAGCAAGCTAATATAATGACCTGGGTTGGTATTGCATTTGGACCCCCTGGGGTCAAGGTCAAGGTCACTGTTACTAAAAATAGAAAAATCTCTGTACAATAACTAGAGTTAGGAATGAGATATTGTTATCAAACTTGGGGTATAGCAAGCTGATATGAAGACCTGGGTTGGTATTGCATTTGGGCCCACTGGGGTCAAGGTCACTGTTACTAAAAATAAAAAATGGTTTTCTGACAATAACTTGAGTTAGGAATGAGATATTGTAATCAAACTTGGTGTATAGCAAGCTTATATGAAGACCTTGGTTGGTATTGCATTTGGACCCCCTAGGGTCAAGGTCACTGTTACTAAAAATAGAAAAATGGTTTTTGGATAATAACTAGAGTTAGACATGAGATATTGTATTCAAACTTTGTGAAAAGCAAGCTTATTTAGAGACCCCAGTTGGGATTACAATTAATTGAAATATTTCTTTGTACACAGTTGATAGTTTGTGTTCAAATTTTTCTTCAGACTACTTATTTTTCAAAAAGTCAAAGTTGCTGGTGGGGGTATTAATCACCTTCAGTGATAGGTCTAGTTTTTTTTCCTTATACAGATTATATAGTGAACAATTTTTACCATGAGCAACTTCTCCTACATTTCTCAACAGATTTTGACCAAACTTTCACAGAAGCTTTATTATCAAGTGCCCTGGCTCACATTATCGGGGTTTTGTGATTGGATAATATTTGACCTAATTATGGCCCTTTGTTTTTTTTTCCTAATACAGAATATATAGTGAAAAAATTCTTCTGTGCTGAACTCCTTCATTTCTCAACGAATTTTGTTCAAACTTTCACAGTAGCTTTGTCATCCAGTGCCCTGGCGCATTTTGTCGGGGTTTTGTGATTGAATAATTTTTTATTTAATTTTGGCCCTTTGTTTATACAGAATATAATTATAGTGAACACTTAATTCCTCTGCCGATAGGGGGCATACATGTTTTATAAATATATCTTGTTTAATAAAACTTCATCAATGGTCAGCCACAGTGAAAAACAAGAACCACAACTATCTTTAGTTGCCCACAACCATAACTCTATTTCAATTCTTTTGCAATGTATTTTGTTAGTAGTAACTTCCTCATTTCGGAAGCAGTCTTGCGGGGGGGGGGGGGGGGGGGGGGGGGGGGGGGGGGGGGGGGGGGGGGGAGGCATTAATCACATTTAGTGATAGTTATAGTTTGATCTGTCTTAAAACCTTTTGAATATACTTTCAGGTAGGATTGTTTTTGTTAGGGACAATCAATAATCTGCCATATGTAATAGTTACATCTGCTGCCAGTACCATAGCTACAAGGTAAGTACAGTAGCTGTAAGTTTAACACCATTGTCAATTATAAGGTAAGACCAATGGATTTAAGTTAATTTTATAGCTTAAAGGTAATTATATTGCTACATTAGCTAAGTCATGTACCACATTAACCAGTAACTTTTTTAGCTCACCTAAACTGGCTCGGTTGAGCTGTTAGAATTGTTGAATGTCTGTTGTTCATTGTCTGTCGATTTAGTTTGTTAAAACTCAAGGGTCACATTTTTGTCTTAATTGACATCAAACTTGGTCAGGATTTTTGTTCAAGTAATTGTAACAAAGTCAACTAGGACACCTTGTCTTTTAATCAGTTGGTCGATACTTCTAATTATTATGTGCTACAAATATTTTTAACTTCTGTAGATACCTGCATGTAACATCTATATTTATATGACTAACCCCAGCAGAGCTATTCAAAAAGTGTCTTTTTACGTCTTTAAGAAGACACTTTTAAATAACAGTTACTTTCCATGTGGATTTAATACAGTTGAAATATAGGGTGTCCTGCTTTGGCCAGTTAAAGGAGTCCTATTGACATGTTATTTTTTTCTTAAGTCTTGGCCCGCCTTTCTGTATTTTATAGATATAGAGACAAGATTTTACATTCTCGCAAGAAACTTTTCGCGCCATTCAACGTTGAATTTGTTTCTCATACTTTTTTAATCCTTTCCTGCAAATCAAAATGTACCAGTGTCTATTGTACAAGTTCTTCGAAAAAGAATGTTAAATCACGCTATATATCTATTAACAAGAGCAAGTGCCCTCGACTTTTCTAAGTGCTTGATAATAAAACAAGAGCCTGAATAATATAGATATTTTCTAAGTTCAAAGAGGCCATAGTTCTGTCAAAATTCACAATTACAATAGCTCTCACAATTTTTCAAATAGTCGAGCGTAAACAAGAGATTTAGTCAATCTTAAATCGTAACAGGCAATTTTTTAACTGCCTCAAACAGGATACCATAGCTACAGAAAGTTGTAGCGAACTTGATAGCACAACTCATAAGTAAATTCAGTTTGTTGAGAAATGAATCAAATAAATTGGATGGCGATTTCCAGGAACATAGTTACTGTTGATTTCAGCATTGACCTTATCTGGTCCCAGGCCCCCATCCACAAACAATCATCGGCCATATACAGCTGAACATTGCCATTGCAAGCTAAGCATGTGAATAATAAAACTTATCAAATTTGGGGTCCAAAATGTTATCCATAAAGCATTGACGTAAAACATGTTCAGAGACGGATTCAATGTTGAATGATATAAATCATCTCTCAGATGAAGGCAGTTAATTTGTCATTGTTTATCCTGAATTAAAGTGAATTCTGTCCAATAGAAATAAGTGTACTAAAATTCCGTGCAAATACAATTTACCTACACCTTTCACTGCTCACAGCTTAAAGGCCATGCAAATATTTTCTATAGTTTTATATTTTCAACGTGAAGATACATTTAATTTCAATTAGATCTATATAGTATTTAATGTGTTTATTAATTTATCTGTTCTTTTACACTTAAACGTTGTATAAGTCAGATACATATACTCTTATATTCTTCAAAAGTGTCTCCTTACAGACGTGAAGAAGACAATTCGCCAGGACGAACAATTTATCCTCGGCTTCGCCCTGGTCAATTTGTTGTAATCCTAGCAAATTGTCTTCTTACGTCAATGAAAAACTCGTACCGTATCCATTACTAGGAGTCATTCTACATGTCTATGCATGTAATGTATATGTATAAGTTGGCAGACATTTAAAAATAGTTTATTTAATATTTACTTTCAAAACTTGAAATGTTGTTGTAATTATGATGTTTTATTATGAACATATCACAACAAATCAAATAACCTGTACTTTTCTATCCATAATTAGTATCATAATAGACACAACTGAATACTGCAGATTTTCTGGTGGACATTTGAATTCTCTATATATGACAGAACAGTCATTGACTGAATAGTCTAAACTGAGCTTCAGCATCAAATAGATTGTTTTAATTACTAACTGTTTTAATTACTGAAAAAATTGTTTGTAAAAAAAAAAAACGCTTACTTCATTCACTACATAATATAATTACAGTAAACTTCACTTATAGCGAACACGGTTATAGCGAACTTCCGGTTATAAGGAACAATTTATTTTGGCCCGAATTTTGCCCTTCTTTATTTAATACAAAAATATACGGTTACTTATAAGGAACTCATTTGTAAGTCCCAATTTAGTTAAAAGTACAGAAAATTACACTTTTATAACGAACACTAAAATACCGGCTGTCCGTAAATAGATTCCGCAGCAGTACGTAATAGTTTTCTATTTAGGATACTTTTAGCATGAGTTCTTGTCACCAAGATAAAACAGTTATTCCTTTTATTGTAATATTTTTTTTCTTTAATAATTTTGCTCGAGTAAATAAATTATGATCATTTATAATCGGTTTTATACAGAATCACGCATGCTTGTAGGCATACTCCATTGAAAAGTACAAAGTTTGCTTGATTGAAATGAAAAGAAATCTATATTTTCATTAAAATGTAATAGAAGATCTTCAATATAAAAGGAAAGAACAATCGAAGAACTTGTTTATTCTTCATCATGGAAAGAAAACAAAAAGCACTAAGTTTAGAAAGAAAATATGATATTTTATGAGAAATTGAGAAAGGGAGTAAAACTAAAACTGAAATAGCAAAGGATTTTCAAAAAAGTACAATCTCGGGTATTGTGTCATAAATAGAAATAAATGACTAATTTTTCTTAATCAAATGCTCTTCAAAATGACGGAAGATAATAAACAATCAGTTCGTTATATGTAAATCTGTTCGCTATAAAATCTCCTGATACAAGGAACTTATTCGCTATATGCTTACAAGGAACTCCGGATATAAGGAACATATTTTGAATGTCCCGATGAGTTCGTTATAAGCGGAGTTTACTGTACTCAGTGGAGTTCGAGTTTGAGTTTGAACATGGGTCATCTCAGATGAAAAAGTAGGTCACAGGAGTTAGAAATAAATAAACTCTTTTTTAAACACTCTAGAGGGTCATATATTTTTGTATAAATACTAGAACTCTGCGAGTCAGATGTGTCGCCTTGTGAACAATATAGTTTAGGAGAAATGGCCAGGACAAAAATGAAATATGAAAACAAACAAAGGGCAATAACTCAAAAAAAATAATAGGTGCAGAGCAGCAGTTTCTGTGCAATGCACTTCTTATCAATAAGATCAATCATTCTATGAAGTTTCAAGTCTATATCTTTTATTTATAATATATTTTTATAATTTATGAAAAATGGCCTGGACAAAAAAAAATTATGAAAATTAATAAAGGGTAATAACTCAAAAATAAGAAATGCAGAGTACCGGTTATTGTACACTGCACTTTTTTAAAATTAGATCTATCATCCTATGAAGTTTCATGTCCATAGCTTTCATACTTGAGGAGAAATGACCTGGACAAAAATAAAGTATGAAAATCAACAAAGGGCAATAACTCAAAAAATAAGAAATGCAGAGTACTGGTTCTTGTGCACTGCACTTCTTCTTAATGAGATCTATCATCCTATGAAATTTCAAGTCCATAGCTTTTATACATTAGGAGAAATGGCCCGGACAAAAATAAAGTATGAAAATTAACAAAGGGAAATAACTCAAAAATTAGGAGGTGCTGAGTATCGGTTCTTATGCACTGCACATCTTCTTAATAATATCTATCATCCTATGAAGTTTCAAGTCCATAGCTTTTATAGTTGAAGAGATTAAATGGCCCAGACAAAATTAAAGTATGAAAATTTACAAAGGGCAATAACTAAAAAATTAAGAGGTACAGAGAACCGGTCCTTGTGCACTGCACTTCGGGTTATTGAAAGAAGAATGCATACCAAGTTTGAAGTCAATCCGACTTATGGTAACTGAGTTATGCTCCGGACAAACTTTAGGGGACGCCGACAACGACGCCAACAAAAGTAACCCCTATATTGTAACCAAACTTAGTCTCTTCTCCTTAGGTAGCATTGGAGAGGTAAGTCTGGCTAACAAAGTCTAGCATGAAAGTAACATTCAGCAGGCCCGAAATAAACACATACGAATACAGTTTCTACTTCTACTTATTTATTTTTCATTTATTCATTTATTCGCAAACACACAAACATATTAAAAGTTATTACACTCAAACTTGACATTATTCAAATATTTACATTAAAACAATATTTCTGATGAATTATACTGAAGTACTCAAATAATTTCTTTTCCATATTTCTATATTTCTCCCTAATCTCCATCCTAATCTAATCTCAAACTCATCTCCCAATCAAAATCTATCTAATCCAAAACTCAATCTAATCTCCAAATCTATCTCAAAATTCTATCCCCATCTCTCCCTTTCTGAGAATAAACCTACTATTTATACTAAAACATAACCCGAAAAGTTCAGGTATACCTGAAGAAATGATTAGTATACTGAAATTGACTAATGTTAAATTATGTTAAATGATATTGCATAAGTAACCCGACAGAAAGTGGGTATGACCTGAAAATGTCATATATTCATTTAGAGTACCTGAAAAGATCAGGTTACCTGGAACTGTAATAAATTGGTATAACAGATTAACATGTATTAGATAATTGACCTGACCAGCTCAGGTATTGTGCTTATCAGAATGATTTATGGTAACCTGAAAATGCAATTAACATCTACAACAAATTAGTAGCACTTGTATTCATTACTGATAAAATGAAGACTCTGTTTTTAATCCAAAGTAAAATTACTCTCCATAATTTATAAACTAAAAAACTGTCACACTATGTCGTTTTTTCAAGGCGACACAAAAAGTGTGATCAAACTTGGTCAGGATGTTTGTTCAAGTAATTGCTCAGACGAGTTTGAACATCAGTTTGAACAGGGGTCATCTCGGATGGAAAACTAGGTCACAGAAGCTAAAATAAAAAATCTTGTTAACAGTCTTAAGTAGCTACTGTTTTGTTCCAAATATC